CTTGCTAATCCCTAGAACTGGTGACTGTTACCTGATATGGAAAAAGGAACTTTGAGAATGTGATTAGGATAATGATCTCAAGATGGAGACATGAAATATCTAGTTGGTCTCGATGTAATAGCTACTGGCTTTAAAGGTGGAGGTAAGCACTGGGAAGGAGAGTGCAGGGACCACTCTATCTGCCGGAAGGGAAAGGAACTTCCTCCTTAAGGACCACAACCCTGCCAACACCTTGATTTTAGGACTTCTGACCCATGAAGTATATGCTCATAAATTTGTATTGTTTTAAGCTACCACGGTTGTGGTAGTTTGTTGAGTAGCATTTGGAAACACACAGAATTTGGTTCTGGAATGTAGGATGGTGTTATAACAAATAGTTAAAACTGTGGAAGTGGTTTTGGAATTAATAGTGAGCAGAAACTGGGAAATTTTTAAGGAGCATGACAGAAAAAGCCTAGATGCCCTTAAATAGACTGTTAGCAGAGATATGGATACTGAAGCCCCTGCTGGAAAGGACTCAGAAGGAAGTGGAGGGCATGGCAGAGAAAGCTGAAACTGTCTTAGAGAATATCTAAATCATTATAAACAGATTGTCAGTAGAAATATAGATGTTAAAGGAGACACTGGTGAAAGTTTAGAAGGGAATGAGGAACAAGTTATTGGAAAATGAAGGAAAAGGAATCTCTGTTACAGAGTGACAGAAAACTTAGCTGAAATGTTTCCTACAATTATGTGGAAATCAGAATTATAAGTGATAAATTTGGATATTTAGCCAAAGAGATTTCCACATGAAGGGCTGAAGGAATGGCCTGGTTTCTATTTCCTGTTTAAAGTAAAATGTAACAGGAAATAAATAAATTGAGGGAAGAACTGTTCAACTAAAATGGGCCAGGACTTGACGATGTGGAAAATTCTTTGGCTATGTGGCTTGCAAAAGGCACTAAAATTACAAGACTCACTTTTTAGGAAAGCATGCTAGAAAGAGAAAGCTGATTGTGTGCCTGGATAACCTTTGGCTAGTGTTTTGGGAGTATTAAAAGTTCAGAGCATTCAGTCACACAGAGGGCTTCTTGAAATTATTAGACATGTGACTCAGATTCCCTCAGCCATTTCAGCAGACACCAAAAATGGAGATGCAATTTGCCAGAAACGATCTGGGAAGTAGCTTATTTTCTAACAGAGTAAATCCCAGAGACATATAGGGGAAAACAACAAATTTCTTAAGAATGTTATATCAGTAGAAACACTGCCAGTTGGACTGAGAGAGAGAGAGAGAAAGGAAAAAAAATTTTAAAGACTATATTGGGGTCTCAAATTCTACAGATAGGAAATGGGCTAATAAAAATACTCAGCTGCAAATATGTGCTACCCGTCATTAAAAATGAGTAACAATTCTTAGGATGGAGAACCACACTCGGAAGACAGAGCCTGAAGCCCCAGAAGATTATTCCCAGTCTTTGAAATCTAATGGAATTTGCCCAGTTGGACTTACTTCTACATTGCTTGAGACTAGTAACCGCTTTTTTCTTCTACTCTCTCTTTTATTAAATGGGAATACCACAACTGTTATATTTTGCATGCCCCACCAATGTGTTTTGGAAGGATCTCATTTATTTTCTAGTTTCACAGGTACACAGATTGAGAAGACTTTTGCTTGAGTACAGATTATAACCAGAACCTTACCCACACCCAACTTAGAGGATTCAGAGGATGAGATTTGGAATTTCTAAACTGGTGACATTTAAGATGAGGTTTTGAGCTTGAGATAATACAATGGGTTGAAACTTTAGGGAATCAGGGGATGTTGTGAATGTGTTTTGCATGAAGAAGGATGTGAATTTGGGAGGGCAGTGCAGAGGGCTGGCAATAGTAACCTGAACAATGACCCCCATATATGACATGCTCTAATTGCTGGAAACTGTGAATATGTTACCTTAAGTGGAAAAAGAGGAAGAGGTCAGAGCTAGAGAGAGATTTGAAGATGCTACATTGCTGGCTTTGAGAATGGAGGAAGCGGCTAAAGAAGGCAAAAGCCCTCAAGAAGATCAAAATGGAAAAGGAAAGTACTTTCCACTAGAGCCTTTAGAAGCAACACAGCTCTGTCAACACCTTGACTTCAGGACTTCAGACCTCCAGAGCCGTAAGGTAAAAATTTGTGATGCTTTAAGCCACTAAGGTTATGATAATTTGTTACAAAAGCTATAGCAAACCAATATGAAGGGTCTCTAGTTAATTTGGTGTAACATTTCTCTACAAATATACCATAAAAATCTTGAATTTTCACATTCCATGAATTTCTGAGTTAATATAGCAAAAAAATATGCTTCACACGATACTAAAAATTAACTTATAAAAGTTAAAATCCTAAGGATATATTTTTCTGTTGATAGTCATCTTGTAGAAATGTAAGAGAACTGTGAGAACACAGAAATGGAACATTTCATCATTCCAACATGATGAATTCTCCCTTGTAAACGAAAGGAAAAGTAATTCAATAAATATTCTTTGCTCTTAAATAGTCAGTGCAGTTCTTCCTGACTGTGCATTAGCATCTGAACGTGAGCTAGGAATGGTTTATTTAGACTTTGAATTCATTACTGCAAACGAGAGGGCCCTTCACCAAGGCCCTCTCTTCAATTATCTCATCAACTTAATTTCAAACATCACACCAAGAGGTGTTTAAAAAGCACCTCAAATATCTTATTGGGCAATAAAATTGTCCACAGTTCAGGCAGCAACATATACTCAGGAGTCAGCATGATGGCATGATATTCCTTCGTAGGGATTTTTCAGTTCTTTGGAGAGTCACAATAGAATCACAATAGGAATATACACACGTAACAAAGTATTTCAAAGCAGCCCTTACCTGTGTAACAAGTGGCTCCAAAAGCCTCTCCACTGTTAGTGTCCGGATTTCCAAACTTTTGGGGTCCCATTTTAAGATGATAGGTGAAGTTGCAGAAGTCATGCTCCCTATAGAAACACAAATGATCAGTCATAAATTATGATCGAGGAAATCATCTGTTACGTTGGGAGTTCAAAATGAATAAATCACTGAAAGTTAGAACATATCACAAGTATGTGTCTGTTAGAGATGGGGCAATCAGCACCAGAATGGTGGGATGTGGTGCTGATGGCATGAGGTCAAACACTGAGGACTCCTGAGGGCATCTTATACATTAGGCAAATCTTGGGGTCCAACTGACGCTGAAGTATTTCACTTGATCAATATTTAGGAAACAGGTCCAAGGGAGTTGGACCTTGCCCTTGAGTACCTACGGTTTCAAGGAAGAGGCAGCCAAGACAGGCAGCAAGGATGCCACAGTGTGACCCATGCGGCAACCAGAGAACAGAGACAGGGCTCTGGAAGAACTAGGAAAGGGGTCAGTCTGGGGAGACCAGACCAACGACGACGTTTCGGAAGCACAATGAATCCACCAGGATCACCAGATGAGGGACCCCATGTCATAACAAAAGGCTACCTTGTTTTCATCACATGAGAAGTGACCACTGAGGATATTATACTCCCTGTGGCAGCTGGTTTCATTCTCTTACATAGGAAATATATTTTACAAGCTGAGTGGCGGTGGTTCTGAAAATAGCCTGCTGCTATTTACATGCTCTCTGATTACCCACTGCATTTACATTCATGTGCCATACAATTAGGGTCTGATAAGGTTATTTATTTCATTCTAAAGCAATCTTCTCCTACCTAAGAATCACTAATGTAGAGGCAGCAGCCTCCCACATATCAAGCACAAAATATGGTCCTGGCCTCAATAGCATAAATTATACATTCCACCAGGGGCGTGTTTCTCACCAAGAAATTGACTGCTCTTTGCCGAATATATCTCGACAAGTAACCACTGGACAAGCAACCTTACATTGTACAAACTGAATCTGAATCATTGGCTTTAATACCACCATAAATCAAACTGTTCACAGCTGTTCTCTTCTTTTGAATAAATGTCCCCACTCAATTCCCTCCTTATAAATCAATGTATGTGACTATTTTTATTAGAATTAACACTACAAAAAACTATCACAGCAGGTGCATACTTCTTTACTGCCCTGCTACAGCTAATCCCTTTGCAAACAGACCCAACGAATTGCTTCATAAGAAAAGAAAAAAAAACAAGGCAAAGACAGCATGCTGGTATTTTACTTCTCTCCAAATGCCATGTTTAAAATAAACTAGCATAGCAGCCCAACCATATAGACCAATTTAGATGTAGGTTGCTTCACAACAATCAGTTGGCACTGCCATGCTGTCTGTCCTCCAAAAACCTAAAAACACTGTACACATTTCCCATTCACACCACCATCTGCCAGAAAGCAGCTCCAACATGCATAGAATTCTGCTGCTGGGCAGCACACCTTCTCGTGCTCTGAAAGGATGAAGATGCCAGATGCTTCCTATATATACACAATACCAGTGTCCTTACAGAAGCCAGATCAAACTAAGTGATCTCGGTCCAGTATTTATGACACAGGTATTTCAAATTTCTGGAGAAGTTCTCCTGAAACCTTTTTCAGACTCTGGTGGGATAATAATGCCATAATAATAATGATGCACAAGACAGTCCCATAGGTAAGCTGGGTAACTACTAGTGAGGTCATTTTTACACTATAGCGAAAGGTTCTGGGGGAGACTGTGGTGAGAACTGCCGTTAGTACATGAGAATGTGTGCACAGGCACTGGTGGACCAACGAAGTCACAGAGAATTTTTTTATGGGTGATCCAATACATACGGTACAGAGATGACACTCAGAAATGCAGAAGTGAGAAATAAAAGTGCTGGGGCACTCACATCAGAAACACTAGTATGCATCAAGGGAGACAGAGAACAAAGCCTGCAAGCCAATGGTGAGCCAAGCCGCAGTCAGACAGGGACTTGAGTCCTGAAGGTCACAGGGACCTTATAAACCTACAAATGAAAGGGCAAGAGCTGCTGGGAAAGTCACTTGACTTAACTTATTCCTTTGGTCATCAATCCTCTTGGCCACTTCTTGTGACACAGGGAAAATTCAGTAACCAGAGACAAGGAAAGGTTATATGGCATACATTTGTTGAAGGAAAAAAATCTAGGAATATAAACTTGAAATGTTCTTTCCTTAGCCATGCAGCTTTTGACAAGGTTTAGACTAAAATTAGGAATTCTGTCCCTATGCCCTATTTACACAGCTTGGTTTAATGCCCAAGTTCCCAAGTAACAAAGGTGCAGGGTAGGGCTATAAAATCTCTATCTCTAAGTGCAGGATGTTGATATCTAAGATTTCCATTGAACTGCCTCTGAGGAGCATCATAGCTTCAAATTAGCCATCAAACATTAGGTAGAGGAAGGCAAGAGGCTCCTTTGGCTATAATACTTGAGCTGGTGTACTCTTTGCAACCCATTCTTTCTAGAAGGATTTGTACCCCACCATTTTGGGCACACTTAATTGCTTTTAACTCTATGTATTAGACCTGCTTTAGAAACATTTCCCTATCAACGATTTCAGCCAACAGAAATTGCATATAAACAGAAAAAAAAAACTCATTCCATTCCAGGTAAGTGATCACAACCATAGACTTCTCAATTGATGATAGTAAGGACAAATGACAGCAGGGAAGAGAAAAAGTCAAACATCCTACAGGGCAAAGAAATGGAGCAATTGCTGTTAGTAAGCATGAATGGCAGCTTGGTATGTGGCCCCATGATAAGCATCCACAAGATGGCAGACTCTCAACCAGGAGGAGCACCCCACTTGTACCTTCCATACCTATAGATTCTGAAGGGCAAACAAAACACATAGGCTTTAAGGTAGACTGCAGGATTATTTGGTAAATAATCCCATCCCCCCCTTTAGACACAGGATCCAGAATTAAATGCTTGCTGTACACAAATATCACTGAGGCTTTGTCATTAACTGTTATAGTTGCAAAAAGACTGCTGTTTGAATTGAAGTTCTAAAATGTATCAACTCTGAAAAGTCCTTTCTGAGCCACAGTTTTCTCAAGTGAAAAATCAGGATAAGTACTTTATAAGGTTATTGTGAGGATTAGGTAACTTAGTGGGTAGAAAACATTTCTGCAAATATTAGTCATTAATGTTATTGTTATAATTGTCCAAAATTTAAGTTGTTTGTTTGTTTGTTTTTATAATTGTTTACCTCTAGGAAAAATAAGGAAGCATCTGTTAAAAGTAGAGATCTAGATTGATACTTCTCTGTGTGGAACAACCAAATTGCATCAAATGAAAAGGCAAGAAGACAAATCAAGTGTGTTGTCACACACATTAGCCTTTTGTCTTTCTAAGGATGGAATGACATACTGTCTCAAATCCAAATTACATATTTGGGCAACTGATAATCTGTCTTTGACCATAAAAGAGATTCTATGTAAAACAAATTTTTTTTCTCAATGAGTTAATCATGAAGGGAAAAAAAGCATTTATTTTACTTGATTTTGGTAGGGAGATTTAGAATTGTGATTGGATACATGAAAGAGTAAAAGAGAGGGTAAATAATACAACAGGCTTGTCTTCTTCCATACATCACAATTTTACAAGCCCAAGACCAAGCTCTTAGCAATTTATTTAATCTCTGTGTAGACTTTCTTCTTGAAAAGTATCAAACTGTGTATCCATGAAAGGTGCTAACATGGCCTACATGATAATACAATAATACATTAGATAACTTCAGAATTTCTCCAGGGAGAAAAGGATGATGCATGGGGCAGGATACCAACAGCCATTTACCACTCAAAACATTAAAAAAAAAAAAGTCAATCCAGAGTAAAATGAGCTCCCTTATGAGCAGCTAGGGCTCAAGTGCCATGTTCCTTGGACAGTGTCCTAATAAAAAGAAAATCTCTCAAGACTGTCTATTGCAGGGAATGCTTTTAATTGACAAATATGTTAAAAGGCAGTGCATAATTGACCGCAGAAATTCCCATTTCTAGACGTTCCTGGGAAATGCCTTTTGAACCCTTTGCCTCACCTTTCTGAGTTCTCACCATTTCTTCTAACACTCTTTTGCAAAGCAATGGTCCAGGATGGTTTCTATTTGCTCAGGAGGCCACCCAAACCTGCCTTCTTTCCAAAGGGCTCCAGCTTCATATTCTCATCATGAATCTTTCTCTTCACCAATACTGAATACTACTGGCAACAGACTTCCATGAGCCTGCATGAGATTACAGGCTGGCTCTGACTGACAGGCAAAGCTAGAAGACAGTAATGACGAAGAGTGGGTTTCTTCACCCGTCTCCACATGTAGATGTTGAGTCAGCTACTTAACCTAAGCTTCAGTTTGATCATTTATAAAACAAGGGTGGCAGTGACCTTATACAATTCATGGGTTTACTGGAAAAATCAATGAAATAATTATAAAAGTAAATGTGATGGTTTTACTTCTTTGCATTTTTGTCTGGTGAGTATCACACTAGTCCGTTTAAGACAACCATTGAGGCGGAGGCCAATGGAGATCCTCTAAGGCAAGATGCTTGAAAACAAAGATTTGCTGTGAAAGTGAGAAATATGCAAAAGAAGTAGATTTTTATAAATTTCTTTGGCATTTCAAGAATCAAGCCAGGAAACACTGAATTATATGGTTTCTTCTATGAGTAAAAATAATATTGGTTAATAATCTGGCCTTGTTGTTATCTCTCACTTACACCTTGCTTTCAGCCTTATGAGCTGTTAAGTAGAGGACCCAGTTGAAACCACCTGGGCATCTGACCTTCAGAGACTATCTTATGATACATTCGTGTTGCTCTCAGCTGCTAAATTTGTAGTAACTTTTGACAGCAGCAATAGGAAATTAATACAGATGGCTCTCAAATTCGCATGAATCACTATCTCCTGGAGGTCATGTTCATATACAAACTGCTGGGACCCATCCAGAGAGTTCTGATTCCTTAGGCCTGGACTGGGTCTGAGAATTTGCTTTTTTGGGAGGTTCTTTGTTTTTTGAATTTCTAACAAGTTGTAACA